GGGGGTTTAGTGGTCACTTGTGGTGCCACTCCGCTGCTCTAATTAGGTGGTGTTTTAACAAAAGTTACTTCAAGGTGCCTGGTGCAGCAGCTCTCGTGGTTCAGGGATGACTTTGCTGCTCCCAGTTCCGGAGGCCCCTCCAGCCGACGAGGGCTGGGTTGTATGAACCATGGTTTTTGCTCCTGCAGGAGTGGTCCTTGGGATGGTCCTTGCTGGCCCTGCTCTCCCAGCCAGGATGGTAGTTTGGGATGCCTGTACTCTCCTGAGCCGGTTAGACACAGTTTAGCTAAGCTGGGCTTGCTGGGAAGTGAATATTTGGCCTCAGCAGATGCTGCTTTTCTTTTCCTCTCCTCCCAGCCGCCCTGGTCCCTCGGTTTGGAGATGTGTAGCGCGGCGACTCCGTTTTCTGCCATGGTCTTTTGCTAATGCCACGCTGGTGAGCGCCGTCCGCTGCTTGGCACCTGTCTTCGCTGGTGGACTGGGAGGAAGATAAAGCTTTCCTCGGTTGTACTGAGAGCTGGAGGTGGTTGTCTCCCAGCATGTGGCCCCCATTAATACAGGATGGATCTGATGTTCGCCGTGAGTAGCTGCTGCGGTTGCTCGTGGCTCACGAGGTGGGCTCAGAGCAACTTTTGGGCTAATTCATGGCTCTGCTTGCTATGGAGCTCTTGTTCCTGACTTCTGGGGGCTGGTGGTGGAGGGTGCTCCCTTGGTCTGCGGTGGCTGTTATCTAGTGCAGCTCTGTTTTCTTTAAACATCCGCAAGAAGCTGAATTCCTGGTATTTGGAGCTGCTGCCCAGGCTTCCCATCGCGCTGCCGGTCCTGGAGGCAGCGCGGTGCAGCTTCGCCTGCAGCAGCGGTTAGGAGGAAACCAGCCCCATTATCCAAAATCAATAGTTGGGCTCTGCTGAGCTGCAAGAGGCCAAGAAACGAAATGTGGAGCGATACCAACGTGTGGCTTCTCGCCCTGGGCCTGAGTTTTGGTATTTAAAGGTTGCATCAGTGAAACGGCTTTATTTTTTCATTTTTGAAGTGATTTGTACTGCAGAGGTAATCGGAGGGAAAGGGGACGGGGGTAGGTGCTGGTTCTGCAGGTGGATGGGTGCGGGCAGACCTGAGCTGCAGCTGGCATCTGCTGCAGGTCACTTGCCAGGTTGGTACCCGAGTCTTTGTAATTAGCTGTATGGGTGACCTTGGGTTTTTAACGTGTCTCCGTGTTATTGTGTGCATAAGGTAGCACGTAGCCAGCCTGGGTGGCTGGGTAAGACTTGCCTTAGTGCCAACAGGATGGTGCCTCGGGGTGAGCGAAGGCAGCACTGCGGCAAGTGCCAGCCACTGAGGCAGTAGCCACAGCTATTGCAGAACTGGTGGGTAACTGACCCTGAAAATCCTTATTTGCTGGAGCTGGGGGGGGTTTCCCTCTTTTGTGTGCACGAATCCATGCCGAGTCTGTCCACGGTGTTGCTGAAGGTCCACCTTGGGCTCTCTCCACCTTTGCCAGGCTGTGCTGATCCCACGCAGCGGTGTTCAGGTACCGGTCACGTGTAATTACTTCTCCGAGGGTTTCAGCACCGTTTGGATAGTGCAGAACTTGAGGAAAAGAGGAGGAAGTATGGAAGTACGTTGTTTTGGTGAAGACTGAGTTGGGAAGTGGAGGATTCAGTGCGTGGGAATCATTTCTTGCTCTCTCCCTGCTGCTGCTGTGAGCTTGCTAGAAATGGGAAATCTCTGCGATCGATGGCTGTAATGTGTTGGCATAAAACGTGGCTGTTTTGGTAACAGCAGTGCTCCTTTCCGTCTGGCTTAGTGGGTGGCAACAGGCCTGTTATTATATTATGAAGTTAGCTGATATTAGGCCAGAAGTGTAATTTTGTGCGTGCATGTGTGGCTGATAATCAGTGAATTATTCTCCTTGGGGGGAAAAAAAATCCAGCCCTCAAATAGGAGTGAGAGGCTGAAAATGCAAAACACTGCCAAACGTTCCGTGGGGTTTTATCTCTCAGGATGATGAGTGTTCTTGGTGTTTTTATTTGCAAACTCACAGCGTTAAACATTTATTCACAGCTGTGTGACCCAGTGATGTGCCTGGCCACAAATGAGAGAAGCGTTTGGTCTGTCCTGGGAGAGGAGGAGGGTGCCGCACCCATCTGCCCTGTGCTCCCGGGGCTCTTCCATCCTGGGAGAAGATGAGGGTGCAGCACCCATCTGCCCTGTGCTGCCGGGGCTCTTCCATCCTGGGAGAAGATGAGGGTGCAGCACCCATCTGCCCTGCGCTCCTGGGGCTCTTCCATCCTGGGAGAAGATGAGGGTGCAGCACCCATCTGTGCTCTTTCATGCGCAGCAGTACGAGTCTGGAGCATGGGTTTCTTCTCCCTGTCAGGTGTCTGAGTTGCATCTGCTCAGCGTGACCCTCCCTGAAGGGTGTCAGTCCTCTTGCAGAGCTGGTTTAATCTGAAGCTCTGTCCAGGCTTGGCAGGAGGCTCCCAGCAGAGCTGGGCTCTGAAGCACAAGACCAGTTGGAGGTTCAGGGTCAATCACCTGCAGGGAGGAGGTTGGAGAGCGAGGAAGACGTCCACGAGGAACGGCGTTGGCCCTGTGACAGCTGGTTTGCAGTGGAAGCGGGGTGTTCTTCTGGGTGCTGAGTGGAGCTGGTCTCTGAGCTCCTGTAGATCTTGGTGGTGCAGTCGCTTGCCTGGACGCAGCAGGACCAGTTTCTCTGGCCAGCGCAGCGACGTTGCGCTATTTGTCTTGGAGCAACCTTGTCTGACCCAGCACAGACCTGCAGACCAGTACGAGCTGCCCAGTGCCAGGATGGGCATCACACAGCGTACTGTGGAGGCTGGGAAGACCTTTGTCAAAGCTGCGGCACGCGAGAGCTGTGCCCGTGCTCAGCTTTGTCCTCGTGCCCTCCTCTAAGGCAGGAGTGAGTTTCTGGATGCATTTCTCTACTTGCCTCGACCATGGATTCAAGTCCTGGGGGTGCCATACTCTGTGCCTCAGTTTACCAGCGTTTTCTCTGCCTAGGTCTGGATAAAACCCTTTAGCATTGCAGTAGGGGAGGCGCTGGAACGAGTGGCTTTGTGTGGGGAGAGCACAGGGTGGCTACAGCGTTGTTGTAAACCTGCTGGTTTGGAGAGCAAGCGTCACGGGGAGTTGCTGGTGTTCCTGGGTCCTTGTCAGAGGTGCATGTTTTAGCTCTTTCCATCCATCTCGGCGGCTCCGGGTTCAGCTGCCTGCCCCTCACCTGCATTTTGAAACCCTTTGGGGAGACGGTGTCCTCCGAGCGTGGCACGAGGGCACGCGACGCGCTCGCTCGAGGCACAGCCGCCATGGCGCGGGGACCGAACCTGTTTGTCGAAGGCGTTTGGCAATGCCCGATCCCAACAGCGTGACGTCTGTTGGGAAACAGCTTCTTGGCTCCGGTTGCCATACTTGCTTGAGGTTTTTCTTTCCAAAGGCTTTATTAATTACCTAGTTAGAGATTTGCTTCGGAGCAGGACAGGAGACCTAGCTTTACTGGTTGACTGCCCTACTTAGGCCAAAGCTCTGCTCTGGGAGTCGGATAAACGCGCAGCATTGAGCTGTTTGGAGCTTCTAAGGAATGGTGAAGGTTCTCCTGGTTTGAGAAGGTTGAACGGTGTTCCCTTCTGGTGGGATGCGCTGAGTCTCTTCGTCTCTACTAACAACGTTTTTCTTGTTTCCAACAGGAAACACAGACTGACAAGAACTCAAAGTGCCTTTTCCCCGGTTGTGTTCAGCCCCCTCTTCACAGGTAAGGCTTTGGAAGCTTTACGGGACGGCGTTGCATTTCATAGAATCATAGAATGGTTAGGGTTGGAAGGGACCTTAAAGATCATCTAGTTCCAACCCCCCTGCCATGGGCAGGAAAACCCTCCACTACACCAGGTTGCCCAAAGTTTGCGATGGAAAGAGCAGTGTGCATCTCCATGAAGGGTCCCTCCATCCCGCGTGGCCTCCAGCCCCGAGCCAGAGGAGCTGTGAGGAACGTGGCCGTCGCACGTCGGCGTTCCGCAGTCCCCTTGTTGCGACGCAGGTTTGGGTCGTGCTCTCGGGGGCCAAGGTCCTTCCTCCGCGCAGGGCTGGTCGCATCCGAGCGGTTTGGAAAAATCCCCTAGAGAGCACGTGCAGCTCGGTGCTCCCCACCTGTGGTTTGAGAGGGGGCCACGGCCGAGCCCCGCTCCCCCCTGGGCCCCGCGCCGACGGCAGCGGCTCTGCTGCACGGCAGCTACGGGAATCGAAACCTCTTTTGTGGAACACTGCCTCCTTCTTCTGCATATTCCCCCCCCACTTCTCCCTGCATCTCACTGGTTTCTGACCTTCCCTTTTCTGCTGGGAGGACGGACGTTGGCCGGTTTATAAATGGTGCGACGGGGAAGTCCAGCTCTGTGACAACTGGAAGCTGTAGTACAGAAAAGCTCCAAGTCATGGTCATGTGCCCGTTGTGGTGTGGGCTCGTAGTCGAAACGGCCCGAGCCACGGGGCTTCCGTGGGAGAATCCCATCTCAGGGCTTGCGTGAGTAGGAACCCAAGGTCACAAGTGTTGATCAGCCGCGTGGGGTTTTACGTGGCTCGGTAGATCAGATTCAAAATAAATTCACGTTGAGGGCCCTATGGTGGAGCAGGGCAAGCAAAACGTGGCTGTGTAGCGATGGACAAGCTGCCGTTGGGTGGCGGAGAGCGGCCGGAGAGCGCGGTGCGGTGGCTGCTGCTGGTTTGTGTTCCCGAGCAAGACCTTTGGAGAGCAGCGGTGAAGTCTCAGGAGAACTGGTTTAAATTTCGGAGAAGTGACCTTGAGGGCAGAGCGTTGGTTTGACTTGCCTGGAACTGGTAACTGGAAGCTTCTGGTTTGCTCCTGTGGTTTCTTGCAGTTCGTTGGGCTCTTGCAGAAGTGGAGTCGCTGGGGGGTAACTGGGCTGCGGTGCTGCTCCTTCTCCTCTCCGCTCCTGCATCCCTGCGGCCGGTGTCCTGGCTCCTCGTGTGACACGAGTGGCTG